GCTAACCGTGCAGCCCTCACAGGGGGCGTTAACTTGCTAACGGAGGTTTGCCGCATTAATGTGGTTATGGCGTTAACGTCATTTTAACAAGATTAACGCTAACAGCGCTAATCGTTACTTGTTTTGTACACCTCATTTTAGGAGATAGTCACTCTTGTGTTGTAAAAACGGAATTACTCTTCCAGTATTATGCATCACTGGAGATTGTGGCGGGGCATGGTCGGCGGTGCCACTGCAGGGTAGGTGAACGCACCTGCAGGGCATCTCCAATCATGCCTCGCCGGGTTAAGACTGTCATGTTGTAGTTGTGGGTATGTGTGGCTGGCAGCTAGGGAGCTGCAGCCATGGAAGCATGTTAGAACAGCAAAGTATGCTGGAGAACGCAGAATAGTGGTCGCATCCAGCTTCATTCCTGCCGCAGAGATTTGGGCACACATTATAAACAACTAAAGCAAGTAACATATTTGAACAATCAGAACATTCTAACAGCATACAGTATTATAATTTAATAAAACATACGGGGGTGTACCCTTACAGTACACATCATGCATTCAGTTTGAGTTCATGGATAAAAAAAGATATTTACAGCACTCTTTCAATCCACCAGAGAGATAATACAGATCTTACTCCAGAATCAGAAGGAGTCATCATCGGCTCTGCATGTAAACCAACCAAATGTTTTCCAGCGTGCTTAGCTTTGAGCTAATAATAGTAGTATATTACTTATACAACTGCACAAGAAAAGGAATGCAGCCAAGAGAACACCAGTAAGAGGGGATGAAGGTTAGATCAAAAAATAATTTCTGAAAAGCTGAAAGTAAGAGATTGGTTACTCCAGAGCAGATTATATTATGAATGTTATTGTAGGGTCTTTACCTTATAATATAAAACACCTTCAGGCATTTCCTGTTGGGATTTAGCACTATATAAATAACACTGCCTGTTGCTTCATGTTGAAAAAGCAGCAAAAATCAGCACAAAGAACATAGCAACTCGACCATTATCTTCTAAAAAGGTATGCACTGAAAACACCGTTAAACTGTCTGAACTGCACCTAACTATGCCAAAAGTCATTCAGAGGTTTTGCATGCACACAAATGTTGGAGGCCTTCCATGTAATCTGGGTTATAGTCTGTTTATCACTGATTAGAATTGGGCAATTAATCGCCTGCTAGTAGGTACAGCAGGTCTCCCGCTGGTGATCTCAATGGGAGTGATTACCACCTACAAAGTCCCATCAATGAGAGGATCTGATTTGAAGAGGGTTCAGCACTTTCCCTTTACTGCTCGTTCCCTTCTGCTGCGCTCTTCTGACCTCTCTCCACATTTTTTCATTAAACTCAGCTGCTGCACAACTTACTGTGGGAACATCTGAAATTACAGCTACATGAAATATGAATCATTGCACTTTCACCACCATAATGTGAATACATTCAGTAGGGCATGCCAGGTTTCACAACATCATTGCACTTCGTTGCTACCTCCACCTGAGAATTTCATGTCGTTTCTGAGTTTTATCGATCTATCTCTCGAACTACCCTCGGTATTACCCTAACACTGTTACACAAGCTTCTTTGAATTTCTGCCAGGTAAATCTACGAGCAGCTCAAGACGAGTGGTGAAGATACAATCCTGCACTTTTACTATGTTGTACATAGTAATTACTGAATGAAAGCAAGGCATTAAAGTCAAATAGACGTCTATAGGAGAGTCTCCTAAGTGCGCCGTCCTTCCACTCACTTGTGCATTCTCTCTATGAGACGTGAACTGAACCAACAGGTTTTTCTCAGAGTGGAAAATTAGCTTCTCCATGCAAGCTGTATTGGTCTGCTGTGGTGAAGCAGCCTTATGGGTGAATTACGCTTCAGCAGGAAATCTACGTCATGACTTACGATGTAACTGGAATCCCCTTTTAACTCTATGCCATAACCTTCCAAGTAACCTGAGGTGCACCTCCCGAGAAGCAGAGCTATGTTTCAAGTCAACGACTGAAAGGCGATGAAGGTTTCGGCATAGAAGCATAAATCAGGCATTATAGAGAGGATGAGCAGTTTTGTCAGTACTTTTCTTGCTTAGAGGTCACTATGCTTCCCTTTTCCCAAACATCAGAGCAGCTCCATGATGAAGCTGGCTTTGGATCCTTCACGTTTCCAGTCTGTTTTGTTCAGCTCTGCCAAAATGGCATCTGTTGATGTCTGTGTGTCACTTTTACCAGCTGTTGCTGTGGTTAGTAGGCGCTCTGTGAATTCATCCCAAATGTCACTCGTGCCACTTCGGGTCTTATGCCTCGAGCGTGTTGGTTTCCTGTTCCCGCATATATTTGAATGTATTTGCTTTAGAATAAGACTCCCAAGGCTATAAGCACATGTACATATGGTATAATGGAGTCAAAGGAAATAGACCTGTAAGAAAAAAAATTTTCTGTGGGATTTAGGTGTTTCGGGATTATATTACAGACTTAATTATGACTTTTTTTCCCCCATTCTTGTCCCTCCCTTCTGTAACACTTTGAGCTGTGAAGGATAGGCTTTTATATAAGCTTGGCTCGCTGTGAGATAACTGCCTTTTGGATCCTCTTTAAATGTTTAATTATTGCAGAGTGTCAGGATTTCTGTTTGGAGTGTTGAATGTGCCATTAATTTGTCTGCCAAGTACGATATTTAGCTTATCCTCTCCACTCTTCTTTACTGACAGAAAACACACTAATCCAGGTGCTTCGTCAAGAGAAATCGAGCAATGCAGAACCTCCAGTTTCAAGATAATGTATTGGCTTTATATTCCTTAAACTGCAACACCACGCACAGTCATCTCCTTTCAGGGTAGCTTTTCAATGTTAGCTTTTAACAGTGGGTTTCTTTGGCTTCTAACTCTTTCAGCGTCTCTTTCTGTTATTTAACCCACCTGGCAGACTGACTCCAGCCAGGCTGTCTTATTGTTGTAACTTTGCTCCATCTGTCCAGTCCATTATGTGGCCTCATGGCTTAGTGACCACACTGATGGAAATGACCCGTGTGACATTTAAACACAATCCATATCCATCCAACGCATGCCACATGGAGCACGACATTTGATTTTTGTGTCAGAGCTGCATCAAATAGCGTCACTGTTACACATCTGGGACCTGCCTGTACATAGGCCTGGGTGCTGATTGGTAGTAATGTGATTTGAACACCTTGAAGTCATCACTTATTTCACTGTGTTTCAGTGAGGCTTAGGTGGCAGTTTTAACCAAATGATCAACCAAAATTTCATCAAGAAAGAACAAAGTACCATATCTGAACTTAGTTTGAGAAATTGTTGGATTTTTGTCACTTTTTCCCATCCAGCTTTGAAAAAAACTCTACTAAGTGTGAGTTATTGTCTTCTTAATGTGTTCAGTTTAATTCAGTTTATCTATATGGCGCCGAATCACAACCACAGTCTCCTCAATGTGCTTTATATTGTGGGTGGTTGGTTAAAAATTGCAGCTTTATCCATCCATTTAATTTGCGTTACTTATCTGGGTTCGGATCGGGGCCGCAGTTTAAGCAGAGACACCTGGACCTACCACCCACCTCGTCCATCTCTTCCGGGGGGAGAACCAGGGCATTCCCGAGCCTGTCGAGACATCAAACCTCTCCAGTGCGCCCTGGGTCTACCTTGGGGCCTCCTCCCAGTACAAAATGCTGGAAACACCTAACCTAGGAGGCACCTACTTGGTGTCCCAGTCATGCCTGATTGTGCAGAGGACCCCTCCTGACTGACTGAGAGCCTCGACTTATCTGGCTGAGCTCAGAAACCCTAAGAAGAAAACTTCTTCCAACTCTAAAAACTCATAAATTTTTTTTTTTTTTTTGCCGTCTAGAAAAGGTAGTAAGAAAAGAAATCAATAAAATAAAATAAATCTATGATAAAAAGTTCTTGAACACATACTTTTTCAACTTCAACTTGTGGGCCCTGTGTGTTTCACATTAAACAATTTTTTCCTGAAAATATTCATAACAACAAACATATTTTTTAAAGATACGTGACGAATGACATGAATCAGAAAATACCACTGAACATGTATAAGGGATATATGTCCTATAAACACTGTTTTGCTTTGGCACCATGTAAATAAAACTGAATTGTGTTGATTGCATTTTTGGTGTCAAACATAAGGCCTGAGGGCCATAACTGTCCTGGCAAAGACTCCAAACTTTTAAATATATTTTAAGAAGATTTTCAGATAGCAGAAGGTTTAGTTTTACCTCTGATTATCAAAATTTCTGTTTTTGTTTTTTTTTTTACAGTGGGTCAACAAAAAACAAATAACAGAACAGAGATTTTCAGTTTTATAATTACAGGACCATTTGGCAAATGAGCAATCAGCAGTTTCTTCATTTACTACAGCAGTATTTCTTTAATATGTAGAAAAACTAAAATGTACTATTGAACCTGAGCTTATTTTTCTTATACTAGGATATCTCAGGGATTAAATGTGTAGACAAACTTCTTTTACTGACAGAAAGGGGAGTTCCCCTGGTCCGGCCCACCAGTCATTGATCAATGTGAGTCGTATGAGGCTAACGACATAAGATGAGTTTGTTTAATATCCTCACGTACTGAACAGCAACATTAGTAACACAGGCAAACAGAGAGCCCTAAATAGGATTTATCTTATTTCACACAGTTAAAATTGATGCTCTGTACCATGTTTGCAATTTATTCCACATAACATACACATATTTAACTAAGTGCCTTTTCCTGCTTTTCTAATGTTTCTAGCTCCTAAAAATAATATAAGTCTTTATTCAGTGCCACTGTGCTTCAGCTGGATGAAAGAACCGACGATTAATGGTACATTCAGTTGTGGTGTTGCTGCTGGAGTGTGGGTGTGTGTAGGAGTTAGTGTGGTTTTGTGTTTTCACTCACTTTTACCTCTGTTTTGAACTGAAATGTTTTACAAATGAGCATCAAAAAGTCAATAGCTCGTTTTTCTCTTCCTTTTTTTTGCCCTTTTCCTCCCTCTTTCACTGCAGGCAGATGGATGATGCTGCTGATCCCTCGCTCCGGAGGCGTGGAGTGACAGATGACAGAGGTTTTGGTACAGCAGGAGGGAGAGCCAAAGAGAGAGGCGACGACGGAGAGACTCGCCACTGCTGATAACCGAGAGAACAGAAAAGGTCAAGCACATCGATTGGGAGGTGAGGTAGAAGTAAGTGACCGGATTTACCGATGCTGCTCTTGCTCTCTGTCTTTACATTCTCTCTTTTCTCCGCATTGTTTCTGCAGCTTCATTTCTTTCTTCTTTTTTCTTCCTCTGTGCCCTTACCACACTGAAAAAACACACCTCCACCTGCACAGCTCAGACTGCTCAATATTTCTCAATAAACCCGCTTTAAAGTTGTAGTTGCGATGCAGCGCTTCTGTGCTTTTGTGGCAAAAACTCTCCCAGTTTTGTTGATTTGGCTTTAAATTTGTGGATGAAGAAGATGTGTTCCTACAGCACAACAGTGACCTAACACACAGTCAACTCATTTAACTTCCTCTGTTTTAAATTCTCACTATGTTCGTGCTCGTTCCGGGAAGCAAAAAAAAAACGTCTGCCCTTGAAGTGCACATAAAATGTTTAATGAACAGCAATTTGTTTTGAGCAGGAATGTACAGCAGCAAAATACAAAAAGCCATTAAAAACCACAGAATCTGATCTAATGGTTGTGCAGGTCTCAAACTGTGATGGTTTATGATCCACTCTAAGAACAGTAACGTCTGCCAGATAAAGCTCAACTGTGCTAAAGCATTGGGAGGTTTTCTCAGTAGCAACTAAGGCATAGTTGTTTGCACTGTAATTTCACGCACGGTGGCTCAGTGATTAGTACCGTTTAAAGCAAGATGTTCCTGGGTTCAATCTTCAGTAAATCCCTGTGTAGAGTCTGCATTCACAGAACCACCTGTGGAAAGCTGTGGACCCATTCACAGGTTTCCTCTGGTTCTAAAAACAACATGGCAGATGAGTGCTGCTTCCTGTTCAGGACTCTACAACTTCAAATAAAGTTTTTTGGTGTTTGATTTTTCAGGTTCTGTTTAAGTATCTTTAGGTTGTTAAGTTTCCTTTTCATGTATTATTCGAGAACTCCTGTTAAATCTCCTGTAGTTTAGTATTTTCAGTGTTTAATTGTTTAGTTATTCATGTTCCTAGCTCTTAGTTAGTCCCCTCCCGTGTTCATCTTAGTCTTGTCTCTGTATGTTCTTCCTAGCGTCCCCTGTATGTGGTCATCGTGCATTCGTGTTTGTTTAGCTCAGTCTCAGCGGTCATGCTTCCTGTTTTATTTTGGTGATCTCTCACCTCGTGTGCATTGTGGTTTGTTTTGCTTCCTTGGTTTAATGCAGTTCTGCTGCGTCTCCACTTGTGTCTCAGTCACCTTTCCCTCGTGTTCTCAGGTGTTCATTTTCTCCCATTTTTTTTCCAGTTTTGGTTTCAGTTTTGCAACTGGCTTTTCCGTTTCCTCTTGTATTCTTTCCTTGTCTTTATTTTGTACTTTATCATCAACCTTTTGCTTTTGGCTCCAGTTTCCAACACGTGATCTGCATTCCCTGCAGATCACGACACATTGAACCACAACAATCAACAATCAGCTTCCTATGAGTCACACTTGGCAATGGTGGGAAGGAAGAACTCCCTTTTATTGATAGGAAGGCTCAGGGAGGGGCAACAACGTAATTCCACTACATAGACTAAGGGTGAAACACAAGCTGGGACAGTAAGGATAAAATCGAATGCTCTACAGCAGTCCCAAAAAGTTGATGCTGTTAATCTGGATGTAATGTTTTAGTGGGAGAAATGTTTCATCACTTACCCAAGCGAATTCTTCAGTCTGAAGAACTGAGGTGACTCATCTCTGCTTTAGCTTGACGCATCAAGTCATACAGTAGTGGCTTCAGAGATTTTGAGAAAGCGATCCATGCCTTCATCTCATCTCGTCTCGACTTCTGTAATAGCCTCTATTCTGGCATTACCGCTACATTAATTGGCCGACTGCAGCTAGTCCAAAACGCTGAAGGCTTTGCCTCCCATTCAGCTTTTAGAAACTCAAGCAAACTCAAGCAAACCTCAACAGAACACACAAGGCTGAGTGTTTTGTTGGGGTTATGTGACATTTTGAAGTTATGATGGGGCCTGATCGTGCAGGACATTGAATGTGAGGAATACGATTTTTCATTTCAATTCTGGATTTAACAAGGTGGCAGTTTTCAGTGTTCTTCCTGTCACGTTTTGGAAAATCCAAAAGCTTTTCAGGAAATTTTTAAAACAGTAATAAGTACTTACAGGTTATAATAATTTCTGTGCTTATTAAAACAGGCAGGCTCAGTTAAATGTATAACTTGCAGGTTAATGGAAAAGCTCTGCTTAAAAATGACTCCAAGGTTCCTCACAAACATCCAGACAGCAGATGTTGGGAGGGGTTCACTTAATCTGCCATCTGGTATTTTTTATCTATTTTTGAACTTCTAATTTTAGCAAAGTAAATCTGTAATTTAAAAAGAAAAAGAACATGTAAAAAAATCTAATTAGAATCTTCTGCAAAGTGCATTCAAACATCCCTCCAATCCTAGACTCCATTTTTCTGGATTACAGTTTTATGCTGCCAAGGCTACAGCTCACACAACGCTAAACTGAGATCATTTTTTAAAATTGACACAGGTTTATCCTGGAGTTTTTCCATAAAAACTCTGCAAAAAGTTATTTTATTTCAGTGCTGTCTCTCATTTATTACATTTATTAGTCTGGAGAAATGAGGCTTGTTCCTGAGGTTTTCTTTCCACATTCAAAACACAAGATGGCATCCGTTACAGTAAAAGATATATATATAAATCTTATAAAGTTTGTATCTGTCTTGTGTGAAACTTGTATGTAAAGCATACAAGAGTGAAAACAGATATAAGACTTGATGCAAGTCTTTTATAAGTTTTTTTCTATTTCTTTTCCATATGGGAAGGCTGTGTGTGTCAGCATATTTTGAGACCATTTTGAGTCTTCCAGTTATTAAAAAGAAGGTCAGGGTACTTCTCATTTCTGGCAACTTAACCCTCCAAGGATTAAGGTAGCCAGGAAGTAGGAGGAACAATAGCTTTGGTTACAATTACTTCACAACAGCACCAAAATAATCCGATGCACTTTAAAGGCAGCAGGAACTATTCTCTACTCTTATTTTTATCCTGCAAAGCAAATAAAAGTAGACCTGTGAGCGGAGAAAAGAGGGAAGACGAACCACCTGCTGCTGCCTCAGTACAAAATGTTGCCACAGAAGTTGGCATTCACCAGCATATAGCTGGTAAATACATAGCTGACACTGTTTATTGTTAGGGAAACATAAACGCTTAAATGTTAAGCCTTAAACCAAACAAAAAAGGCAGTTGGTGTTTGCTTTGTAGGGCACATTAATAAGAAGAAAATCCCCCCATCCCATTTTGCTTTCCCCCCTCTGCTGTTTTATCTCGCAGAGCAGAAATGGCTTAAACAAACAGAAGTGCAGCGGCAGTTTTATTTTCCCCACGGTGGAAAGCGCCAGCGACCGCGGCGGCGTCTGTGCCACGACTCTGCGAGTCCCCAGCCGTGTCTGCGTAACTCTCTCCAGGATGTGGGCTGGAATGCGTTCTGCAGTCACAACACCAAATATAAGCCTAATCTACATGTGATGTGATTGGCTAGCTGAGGCCCGCATCTCATCTTTGGTTTGAAACTAATGAACTGTGTGCTTTCACTCGAGTTTCCAGATAAAAAGATAATCACTGGTAGAATAACAAGTTACTGTCGTGTGGAGTCGAGAAATTGGCCTCATTCGGCGTGACTCATGGTTTCGTGCGCGTCTCTCCTCCCTCGCTTTCTCATCTCTTTTATCTCTTTCCTCTCCTTTCAATCACTTTTCCTTTATCTCCCCAATCACTGCTTTGTCCAACTTCCCTCCTCCTCTCCTCTTCCTCCTCCCCTCTCTTCGTCGTCTTCTCCCTCTCTCTGTGACATATTGCTGCTTTGTCAGGCCAGTTAAATGGCTTGCCTGCAGTGCTGTTTAGTTTCCTGTGAACTATGCTGATAGAGGAGGCGATAGGAAGCAGCTTGTCCGTTACACACAAAGCAGCGCGCTGGTGACAAACGCACTCACACACAATCCGTAATCACACGTATAGTTCTTCCCTCGACTCGATTTAAAGTTGCGTTGGTTTTTCTGTGTTGCCTTTTTCATTTTCCAAGGGTAGAATTTTAAAGCGCACGTTATTACGATGCTGTTTACCTTTTTTTGTTTATTTGGTTTAGTCAAGAAAAGACAAGCTCAGCAGTTTCACTGGATTTATGTTGTCCTGAGAAATAATCAATAAATTGTAGTAGCCTCCTCTATAATGTGGTCTTCCTTGTCTTGCTCTTCAAATCTATAAAATATGGCCCCATAGTCCAGGCTAAAGCCCTACCAGGAGCTGAATGGTGGTGAGATTACATGATGATTTGGTCTGATGGGAGAGGCAGTCATTAATATTGGTATCATATATAAAATCTATCCTCCCCAGAAAACAGATAACATCCTTCATTGTTATGCTTCAAACAACCGTTTTTCATTTTCTAAATTCAAAATACTAAACCTAACTTTGGTTGTTTCACTAGCGTAGCTGTGATCACAAAACCATGGAAGTTATTCAGGAGTTGAGCAAAGTCATTATGTTGCCTAGCACCCACCTACCAATGGGCTAAATGGCACCTAATTTATGCTCCGTTTAAAAGCCTTGCATCGTTTTAATATCACAACAGCACACAACAACCTTTAATTCATATCCACAAAAGCTGAATTATGTCATATTATGATGTTGTTACATTTCATCAACCGCCTGAAAAACGAAATGCAATGTTTATACACTTAATTACACCTTGCCATTTGATAGCTAGCATTTCGACATATTTAGTTAATATGTTAGCTACATAAGTGTAGCATGTACTACATCTCTAAACAAAACAAAATACTGAAGTAACAGTTTGGAGCATCTCCAAGAAAGCGACTGGACTTCTTTCAATTTCTTGAAGATGTTTCACTTCCCATCCAAGAGGCTTCTTCAGTTCTAAGAGGTCCAGTCGACCGTGACCCGGATGACTGAGAGCTAACACAAACATCTGATGTAGCAAAAATGCAATGATTCCACTTTGTGGTTTTGTGAGACATTATGTGTCAGAGTTTTGTTACACTGGAAACTCATTCAGTTTACCAAAAATGAATAAATGAGATAAACTCAGTTACATGACAGGGATAAATGACAGATGATGTGCACTGTGGTAGAGCATGTTTGACCCTCAAAAGTCTAGATTGCCTGAGCTGTGTGGTTACCTCATGTCAGCATACTGAGCCCTAGCCATGTTGGAAGAGTGGATATGGTATCTGGTGTGAAAGCTACCTGTGCCCAAGCTCTGAAAATATCTGTGTTAAATAATTTAAATTGCTCAAAGGCATGTGAAAGTAGAGTATGTTCCAAAATGACCCCAAATACACCACAAAGAAAATGGACTCACGAACTGTGTGCTTTTCTTTCTTTTTTCTTCTTTTTTCAGTCCCATTATAAAGAAGTGTGTGTGTAAGAGAGAGAGGAAAGAGTGCTCCTTTCTAATGTGTTATAACCCCAGGATATCAAATACTGCCATTATGAGTGTTACAAGGTGTTCTTGGGCATTGATGCCTCACTGTCCCACCAGTATTAAAATTTGTGATAAAGTTTCTCTTTGGAAACGCAACAAACCCAACGCTTTGGGGCAGGTTTTCTCAGAGTTTAGTCACATCGACCTAGAGACCAGTCAGCAACGCTTTTAGAGACTTAAAAATATGGAGATCTTTGCAGCTGTCCTTATTGCACTTGCATGCAGAAAGTTTCCTTATATCAATCAATCAAAGCTTTATTCGTCACATGCAGGTTGCCCTGCAGTGAAATGGGACCCCCCCCCCGACCTTACACATATAGCACAAACATTACATGGGGATACAGGTCGGAGATTGGTACAATCAGAGAAAAAACATTGAAATGTACACTACACTGGGGAAAGTACAAGAGGAAAAAAAGAGACCCCTACTCATGCTGTGCTTCCATGGTAGGACAGCATGAGAACAGGAAACAAAAAAAACTCCTCTGCACAAAAAAGCACATAAATGTCCACAGCACAACATTGTGAAGACATGACAAGCCACAGGGGTGGGTGGGGGGTGAGGAGTAATCCGAAGCGAACACAGCAGCCGCCCTGCACAGCGCTACCATTCCAGCGCAGCACACAGACCCGCCGTGTTCCCTCGCAGGAAACAAGCATCGAAGGCGTTGGAAAGGGAGGGGGGATGAGTGAGTGCCTATGCCTATAGTGTTATCATTCTTTTGATTCTGAGACCTCACAACTGCAGTGATCCGTTCCGCAATGTCTTCCAACTGTCGCTCAAGGGTCTCATTTTGAGCAGGCCTCTCTCTGATGTTTCCCCTCATACGCTCAATGGTGTTGTTTTGAGCCTTCACAGCAGCTGCAAGCGTCTCCAAGGTGTTGACCATATTACGTTCGTTGTGAGAGATTGCGCCTCGTTCCATTTCGATTCCAGCGGGCAGCCTTGGGGGGGTTTGAACAGCCTGTTCCGCTCTCTTATTTCTCCGATAAACCAGGGCTAAGCCAACTCCGATCAGCATGAACCCTGTTATCATGGTTCCGAATAGGTAGATCTCTTCAGCGTCCTCGATCGACAGTCCCGCCAGGCACATGATCCTCCAGTTCTGCCACCCGTCCATCGTGTATCCGGCAGGGAAAGTCCTTCTAGGGCACTCAGGCTCTCCCGAGCCCAGATTTCTCGTTGAGAAAAGGGTGTCAATAGCATTCAGAGACCAGTTGATCAAATCCATAATTCTCTTTTAGGTTTTAGAGAACGACAGTGGGAGGCTATTCCAGGGAAAGTAATGCACACAAGACAAGACAAGGACCTAGAGGCTAAGCAGGGAAGATAATGGTGAGGAGGAGAGGAGAAAAGTGCGACCGCCTTCGCTGAGAGCTGAAGAAGAAGTGTCTAATATAGAGCACAAACTTGAGGGAGGAATGTATTTAAACAAAAAGGAATGTATTTAAACAAAAAGAGCACGAACTGGTGCAGCTGGACTGTAGTGAGCACTGTGCCAACGCTTTAGGCTCTATAGCTCACTCCAAATGTTTAGAGGGTCCTCAGTAATACTGGTATTTGGATGAAGCACAGCAAAACCTAATTGAACCTCACAGGCAGTCATGCTCTGGTATGATGAAAGGCAACCACACCTAAAAAGAGTGAGACATGCGGGCTCCTGTTTTAGTTCTTTGCAGCATCCAAACACCTGTGAAATAGCAAGTGCATGTTTCCCATAGAGATATACGAAATTACAAGAAATTATTTGTGTCACTTTCAAAGAGGTGACTTCATCCCAGCTCAGTCTCAGGAGTTTGTGAAATAGTCACCCAAAAAAATGAAAGAACTACACTTTTGTCAGTGAGCACAAATTTGTAAGTCATGCAATTCAGTGGGAAATATGTTTTGTCCCAAAAGCACGTATGTTCTGTAGAAAAAGCAAGTGTCACCATGGCAACCAGAAAGAAGTGTTTTATAAGCCATGGCAACTGTTGCGTTTATTTTTTAAACCTAACCCAGCAGATTTTAATGCCTAAAGCTGTGGAATCAATCACAGTGGAATCAATTGGCAGCGACCTGGCAACCACACACCACAGAAAATCAACTTCAAGCGACTGCACTATTTGCAAATAACCCCTGACAATGTAAAATGTAAAATGGGCGGGACCTGAGATAACCATTGAGACAACTTTTAGGCGGGCAACTGTAGCGACCAAGTGAGCACAGGATACTACTGATTGGCATGTGGCCTGGTAGTAAATACATGCTTTTTTCAGACAACAGTGCATCCCTCACAAAGCCTTATTTTGGTTAGAACATTACTTGCCCACTGATCAGCCCATCGGCCCAACACTAACCCAACAAGCTGAAAAATGATACCAACTGGTCAGGTTAGACAGGTTGTTATAGGATGACCCCAAATGGGCCACATTCCTATTTCCAGCCACCCTGGGAATAAGAATGTGCCATCCTGTCAGTTGAGTGGAAAATGAGAAAAGAAGTGTTTACGTATAATAAGTGAAAGCAAAACAAAACAAAAAAAACATTAAGGTCCAATTACTGCATTCAATATGATAAAAGACCAGTTGGAGAGGGTGTGGTTCAAGGTAAACTGGTAGGCATCTACTTTAGACTCAGTTCAGGGGTTTTTGAAGGTTCTCAGTCATCCAGGTCATCATCATCTTTAAGTTTCTTGAAGACGTTTCACCTCTCGCCCAAGAAGCTTCTTGAGTTCTAAGAGGTGGAGAGCCCTATTTAAGCCCTATTGGGAGTGTCCATAAGAGGGTTGCTGACCCTCTATTGATCATCTGCCTAATCACATGAGCCAAGGTGTGAAAACAGGTGCTGGTTACTATCAGCCTAATTGTCATTTAAGTACGAGGATGGGTTGTTTTTATAAACAACACAAGTTGGAACACACACACCCAGACACACACACAACAGTAATCTGAATGAATTATTGTGTTTGCACTCAATCGCACCTAGACAGTTCATTTGCATTCAGAGCAATTTACACAAATAAGTGCAAAGCAGAGACAAATGAATACACTTACACACATTAAACAATACAAATGTTAACAGACCCACACCCACAAAGAAGCACAGTTTTTATTATTGTGTATGTAGCATTCAGTAAAATATGGACAGACATACTCTATCCTTCCTGATATTATCATAGACTCGCCGCCCACTAAAATATCTCAGCTGGAGGCTTGGTTGCGTCTGGAGATGTGCTCGCTTATCATCTCAAAATACACACTCACAAGTGGACACATGGGAACGTAGAAAGAAAAAAGCACAAAAGTAAACACACACACACTTATTCGCATTTCATTCTTAAACATCCCACGCAAACGGGAACACGTCTCAATGGTTTTTGGTCGTTTGTGCTCTTCACAGGCAAAGACTCACTGTATGCGCGCGCTGACTATCACACACACATAAACTTTGACTCCTCCACCTCTCCTTGAAGACATTTATGAGGTGCTAAATCACTAAGCTGCCTGACTGGTAAGGGTAAATAGAGAGGAGAGCCATACATACACACACACACACATGCTGTGATGTGAAGGAGTAAACATCAAAGGATCTGTTGGATTTTTATCTTTAGTATATTTTTGAATGAGTACAATGTTTAACGTTCTTTTCAGACCTTTTTTTGAGGAGTGTGGACAAAGTCTAAATTAGTCTGGTGGAGAATCACTTGGAGGGCAAAGGAAGCGGAGAAAATGCAGGACAGAAGAAGATTTGAGTGGGCGCGCTGATGGATGGCTGAAGAGGGAAGAAGAAATGGATGAAAGCTCAAAAGATTTAGAGAAGGAAAGCATGGAAATTTATTGAGTAAGACTGAGGGAGAGGAGTGGGTGAATGGAGTAGATGGATGGAAGGAAAGTAATCGGAAAGGGGGGATATATCAAGGATATATCAAGACAGACCAGAAGGAATGTAAGAGAGAGAGGTTTGATTTATTCTCAAATCATAAATGACTGGGTGAAAACAACTTGTGCATGCAGGAAGTTCAAATTAGATGATCTGATTCTTTTTTTTTTTCTTCCATTGCTTCTTTCCGCAGTTCGCCCTCACCATCATCTCGGATAAACACCTCAGATATGTCCGTTCACAACAGCAAGGTTCAAAGCTGAATGCAGATACTGAAACCGACTGACACCCTGTGGCAAACGGACTACAGCGATTGGGTGGACAGAGGACGATGGTGGCCCGGAGCCATGGATATGAGTCATCCAATTTCCAGCTCTAAATTAAAAACTCTTAAAGTCTCACTTCCACTTGGATGTAGATGTGGCTGAACACCAAAAAGCAACTCGGGACAGTTTTGCTCAGCATATACCTTGAGAACTCCCTGGCAATGATTTGTTGGCCAGTAATGGGAGATACAAGCCTAACAGAACAATTTGAGGCTGTTTGGAGCTAGCAAGATTTGTTAAAACACAATAATAAAACCAAGAGCCCTTGTAGCTGCTTCTTCCCTATCCCCCTGCCCCAGCTTCCCTGTCATTCACAATCCCCCAGATTTCTCCCTTTCCTGCTTTCTTCCCATCCCATCTGATCAACTCTTAGGTGATATCCTTCAGAGAAGTGTCCCTTAATTTTGAGTGCAGCTTCTTCTTCTGTATGCTTGGACAAGCAGATTGTCCAATCTCCAGTAATCTCTCTTTGAAATGGGTGGCCCAGCAAGGGCTCTTCTTGGCGGGTTCGGGACAACCACATCCTCCTTGGAGGTCGGGAGTCGAATGGCTTGGCCGAGCAACAACCCCTTAGATCTCAATCAAACCCTCCCATGGGGGATAGGACTTGGAAGCAGCAGCGGAGGTGGTGGTGCTTCCGGCATGAGTTTAGGTCTGGATAATTTAACAACCCAGGAGTCTGTGAGCAGGGCGGTTATCAAAGAGAAGAACTGGCCAGCACTGCTCATACTCGTCATCATTGCGCTGACGATCGGCGGAAACATTCTGGTCATCCTCGCGGTGTCGCTGGAAAAGAAGCTCCAGAATGCCACCAACTTCTTTCTGAGGTCACTGGCTGTAGCGGACATGCTCGTAGGGATCCTGGTTATGCCAATCTCTCTTATCAACATCCTCTATGGTAAGTTTATGGTACCCATAAATCACATCAGCATGAAACACTTATATACAAATAAAATTCACAACTCATCTCTGCTGACAGTAGCATATTTATAGTCTTACGCAACTTTAAAACATCAGTGAACAATTGGATGAGTTGGTTTGGTTTATATGTAAGTATATATGTTATTGCTGTCAGCGTTAATCTTGTTAAAATGCCGTTAATGCAATAACCGCATTTAAGGCGTCAAATCTCCGTTAGCGAGTTAATGGAGATTTGCCACGTAAATGCGGTTATGGCGTTAACGGCATTTTAACGAGATTAACGCTGACAGCACCCAAAAAAAGTCGTTCATTTTACTTTCTGTATCTTTGATTTTTTTTTCCCATTTTTCTTTTCTTTTTCTGTTTTAGCCATTTAAGAATGATTCAAGAGTCAGTCATCATCTTTGTGTGCCGTGATCTCAGCACTTGATCGGATGTGTTCACGGACATAGTGCAACCTGTGATCAGACCAGCTGATATCATTTAGGATAACTTAGTAAATTAGTGTTTGCAGTGAAGATAAACTGACCACTTAAACATTTAAATGACGCTTTTCTAGTTTTGTAGCTTCAGGCTGAAAAATCAAAGAGAAGGTGGAAAAATTGCTGCAAACTGAGAAACTACATTACTCCTACATTCTCAGTAAGCTCAGTACAGTCAAAAGGAACTTGTAAATTACTCGTACCGACTTTGAAAGAATAGCAAAACAGATGATCCACTTTCCTTAAGTGTTTGTAATTATGTATTCACTTCTTTACAGCCCCTCATTTAATAATAAAAAGCCAGATTCATCCCTATAAATCTCAATCTTTAGACAATCTGCACCTGATCTCAAATATCCACCCACTTGCCAGCTGTTGTCAGCACACTGACATGCGCCTGCCATCATTAAAAAACATTTTTCCGTGCAGTTATTGAAATGATTATTACTTCTCTGAGACGGCGCACACTGTTATTTTGCAAGTGAATCAAAAGCCGGAGGATGCCAGCTTAATAATTGCAATTTCATACCAGCTTTTTACTGCTGTTCTTGCTTCCAGTGTCCATGCCAGGATTCTGCATGAACGCCCACATTAGCATAATAGGATATGTGCATTCCCCAAGCACGTGTGAAAACATTCGATTAAAGATAGACTGTCTTCTTCTAATGTTTCAGCTAGCTCTCGACGTGAACGCCTCAGGAGGGAGGTACATTTCCTACTTCATACCTGTAAATGTCACCATCACAGAGACGATCACAGAGCTGATAGTCAGTGAGAAAATCTGTTTCAGAGATGTAGATAAACAGATGGTGACCTTTACAGGTTTCAGTGACAGCATTCTTTCTCAGTGCTCACATCACCGGCTTCCAAGAACTCTTAGCACCTTATAATAAATGTGTCTATGTTTTTTGGCTAATATCATACTTCCAATCGTATGAAGCCATATTTTAAAGATTTTTGATTAATCTGTTCAGTAATCTGAGAAACGTGAGGACATTTATGAAGGTATATTTTCAGGGATGCTGTGCACGATATACCTTTTTAAAGGGTAGCTATAATGCTCATTGTTTCTAGACCCATGTTTTTATTATTCGACTGCACTGGAGTGTCTTTGCGTTATTTACGTTTTAAAATAATATTTTTTTATCATTTAGCTTTTCTGCAGTTCATTCACTCTAAAGCAGTGTGTTTGAGCTCCCTTCCATCTCCTTTTAAGACAACTTTGTTCTGATTGGCTGCCCCTCACAATTTGAATATTTTTAAAGCATGTGGGTGGGGCTTCTGTGCTACATGCCCACAGTTAAGTAGAGACAATAGTTGTAGTGAAACCAAGTGCATAGAGGACTTGAGCTTTTGGTTCATGGAGATTGCTTGAATATATACTCTGACCTCATTATTTGAAACTGTGGCCATGTTTTGAAAATGCCACTGTGACAAAATATATGACAGAAATTAATGAAACCCATAGTGTGGCTATTTTGACCTCTTTACAGCTACCATATTGCTGGCAACGATTAAGGCAGGATTTGCCCTTTGTGTGGAATTATAGAAATTTGATCAGATCTTCTAGTTTCCAAAACTAGGCTTCCTTAGCAAAACGCAAACTAATCCTAACCCTCATTCAGTGGGGATTCTGGTGGATGTTAGTCCTCAGTCACAGAAGCCTAGAGACTGGTCTGCAAACTCATGGAAAAATTAATATTCCCAGACTGGTTGCAAGGGGTTGCAGCCATCCAGTTGGTATGGAAAGATTTGTATTCCACAACAAATTGGCAAGTGGTTGCTGGAGTTTGCTGGCTAATACTAAATTGGTGTCAAAGAGGTATGCAGTGCTGCATTGGAAACTGCGTCGGTCAATAGCAGAATGCTCTGGTCTCCAGTAGTTTGCATGTAAGATCCCAACCAGTTTCCAAATACTTGCAAACTGGTTGCTAAGTCAAAGTGGATTTGTGAAGATTTGAGGCTAAATGTAAATGAAGAACTTTTACGTTCAAAGTAAACGTTGCACTTTTTGAAAGGTGTTGGTTGCAGCAGTAAGGCACAACTTGCCTTGAAGGCAAATGCTCTTCATTTCTGGTTTGTGTCACACAAGTTTCGCCACCAGTATTTGGTTAGTGCTAGGAGGAAATACAACCATTCTCCAGGCATGTGTAACTCGGGCTTTAAGAGCTTAGTAGAATAGAAGAATATACAATGTTTTTAACAGTGATGACAGCAGCGCAGCCCTTTCTTCAAAAGCTTACCATGAAATTAATCATTAGGACTTGTAACAGGTCAGAACTTGAGGTTTTGACTGTGAAATTTGATGAAGCATGCAAACAAAGTATGCAAACTAATTGGATAAAAGGAAAAGTAAACTTAAGCAGTCATCGTCAGTTTCATCATCTTGCGTGAGCAGTGCTTCAAGCAGTAGAACTAACAAGTCAAAAGCCAAAGGATAAGTCACATGAATTTAATTACACCATTGTAATTGAGTTTGATCACATTTTAAGTTTAAGAATTTTATACGCCTTAGTTCAGCTGATTTAATAATCAAATTACCTCAGAAAACATGATGATGAATAGCTTTCTTTATTTTTCTTGGAAAGTTAATCATACCTCGACACAATGTCACAATCTCAGCTTTTGTTGCATTCTCACATCCCACAGCTGCAGATGCACGGCTTTAATCATGAACCAGGAGTTTGACAGGAGTCGTGAAAGACTTTAAGACCTGTTTTAAAAAATAAAAGGTGGGGGGGAAAAGAAAAGAATAGAAGGGGCTGTGTAGGTGTGTGGGTTAGTGAGGATGTGTGGAACCTCTTCTCCTTTAACAGAGAGAAAACTTCAACAGAAGCAGGCTCAAGGATGATGGCCATCTGTCTCAAACGGTTGTGGTAAGGGTGAGATTGGAGACAGAAAAGAAGAGTGAGGAAGAGAGGCAACAAACAATACAGCGATAGACACTCAGCAGGTCAGTGAGGCCGGTGGCTTCAGATTAGAAACATGCAGCTCTGGAGGCAGAGATACCAGCAGACAGGGCAGAAAAAGCACAAACACGAGGAAAGAGAAGGCAAAGGAGAAAACAGGAGATCAGTGAAAGACAGTTTATTGAGGTCATCTTCATGAGGTGGGATTCATCTGTATGAGTTATAATAAGGCAAGAGGCATATAGGAGAATGAGAAAGATGTATTCTTTGTCTCAAATATAAACCAAAATTAATCAATCTATCGTCTAAACATTATTTAGAGAAGAACGTTTTGCCATATGTCTTCCATCCCCCATATATAAACAAATACAATAAAGGCTTTTATACATATTATATTTTTCCTTCTTTACGATCACCACCCTGGTTATATCCTGGCGTCAAAATCATTTATACCCCCGTCGTTTATGCGCCATACTCAATTCGGTGTTCTCCTAAACAACAAAATCTCTACATCAGCGCAGCTTTAGAAGAAGAAGGCGAAACGAGTTTTCTCCAGGAAGACATAAGAAGTATTACAAACTTATCCGGTTGTATGTAGAGACACTCAAAGAGGAAGAGGAAGCAAAAGAGGAATAGCTCAGGGAAGATTCATGGATGCAGTGAAGACATGAAGATTGTTGGTGTGACAGAGGAGGATGCTAGGGATACTGTGAGATGAAGGCATATAATCCACTCTGTTGACCTATAATGTAAGTAGAAGAAGAAGGGTTATACCTGCAAAAGAGCTGGTATAAGTGGACAGATATCAGCAGAACAGATGAAGTGGTTTTAAGCTTTCCTGGTTCTTTGTTTCTGAAGTCATGCTCACACTGGAGATAAAGATATATCAGCCTCTAACCCACCTGTTTCTAAATCTTTCTTTTATGTCCGCTACTTTTACGGCAGTTCAATAAAATACTAATAATGCTGCAGGCCAACTTCAATTCACCTTAAATGTATCAATTCTTGCTTCCCAGCCTATAAAATACAGATGTGATTCTGCACATACTGTGTGGATATTCATGCTTCGGTCTAACTCTTATTTTGCCCTGCAGGCCTTTTGTTTCCCCTGCCAAACCTGACCACATTCACTACAGTCATGTGTTGGCTTTGTGGCAGGCAGGCATCCTGCTGGAATGCTAAGCAGGACGGGGAAGGTTGATTGCTGCTTAATGGGCCACGCGTGGCCAACGGACACACTCGCTGGCCCGCTCTGTGCCTGTCTGTTAGTTCAAGCCACCGCTGATTGCTCACTGTGGTAATCAATGTTTCACACAGACACACACTGAAACAAAACACTGACAAGTCTGTCCTTTCCTTTCGCTCTTTCAGATGCACAAACACACTGAGACAGATTGGCTGTTTGTCTCTCTGTCATTTATATACACAGAAGAACACGAGTCCCTGCAAACACACCCAGTGCTCGCACACACACTTGAGTGGAGTCTGGATCTTTACGTGCAGTGTTATCCATCAGACTGGTACTTGACTGCATTGATCCTCACGGCTGACTGAGTGATCGACTAGACACACACACACACACACAC